TGAGGGCAGGAGGAGGGGGGTGAGGGCAGGAGAAGGGGGGGTGAGGGGCACCACCAGCCTCGCTCCTTACGGACGCCACGGCGGCCGGTCCACACGCACGCCACGCGTGCACCGCCCCTCCGCCACACAACCACACAACTTCCACCCGTGTCGTAACACGTGCACCACACGTTCCGCCGCACTCCCACGACGCGTCCGCGGCTCTCGAGCACAGGCGTCGCCTTCAACATCACCGCCCTCTCTCTCGTCCCCGACTACTTCATCTGCAACTGGATCGACCTGCCGACGCCGCTCTTCGGCGCCGTCGCGCGCCTCGTGCCCCGCATCATGTGGGCGGCGTAGCGGCAGCGCACAGCGGGGCTCCCACACACACTCAGGCTCACAGCACAAGAGCACATGGAGACAGCATGGACCATGATTGGAGGTGAGGTACGTCAACGTCGTATGAGTCGTAGAGTAGACGCACAGCAGTACAGACTACGAACAGTACGTCGCGTTGGTTTAGGCCACCGCGGCCACCCAGCCCGTTTTTGAGTTTTGAATTCTTTTTCTCGCGGTACACTCGGTGCACAGATTGAATTCTCGCTACAGCTTGATACGCACAGCAGTACAGATTGGATGAGACGGCGCAGATTCGAGATTGTGATTGAATTCTTTTTCTCGCGATAGAACATATGTCCACCCTCCCGCCGCGCCCCGCCGCTCGCCGCTTTCAATACCGTATAGCTTTCAATACCGCTTTCAATACCGTACACAAAAGAACTTTAAGAACGGCAGGAGCCCGGGAAAATTCCTCGCTTCTTTACTTTTGTTCGGTTTCAGTCTCCTCAGCTCTGAGGAGCCCCCGATTCAGTAGAAAATGGCTCGATGCAAAAAGCCAAATAAATAAATAAATAGAGCAGTCATCTCCAGGGAGAGATGGGCGACGCACACGAACACAGAGGGACAGTGCGAAAGTCGATGCCTCGAGACATTCTTCTTCTCAGTGTTAGTGCCAGTGCGCCAGTCCTGCCTAGTGTCGTGCGAGGATCGCTCTGAGAACGCCGCTTCTGCCGCTGAGCCAGCACCCCTCACATGTCGCGCTCGCCTCGCGCCGCACGCACCGAGGAGGACGCAACACGAAGTGCTGCGATCGGGGTTGGCCCATTTCTTTTTTCCTTTCTTTTTTTGGGTCCTGTGGGCACCCTAGGCACGCCGCCACCACACAGGGATTTTAAGGAGAGGTGTGTGATGCGCTAGCCGTCGCCCACCCTAGGGAGTCTGCCTCTTCCTATCTCTCTTCGCAGTCTCTCGAGCGGGTGGCAGCGCGGCCACGATCTTGGGGCCATCGGCCGTGCATTTTCTTGCCTCCCGAAGGTCTGAGAGAGAGAGTTTGTTTTGTTTGAAGGTCTGTGCGTTCACACAAAAACAAGAAAGAAGAGAAAAAACACAACCCCGGCCAAGACGTTCACGAGCCACAATGTCACGGAAGCGCTCCCGCTCGTCCTCCTGCTCCGCGCCCTCCGCCTCCGCCGCCTCGCCCGCCATCCTCCTCAGCGGCGGTAGCCAGGCGCTGCATCGGGACGCCGTCGACAAGTTCCGCGCCGGAGAGCTGTGCGACGTCGAGCTCGAGTCGGCGGATGGCGAGACAGTCGGGGCGCACAGGATCGTTTTGGTCGGCGCGAGCAAATACTTCAAGACGTTGTGGTCTGGGAAGTGGCCCGGCGACTGCCGCGGCCCGCTTGACCTCACAGCTCTCTCGACCGCCTGTCTTAAAGCGTGCCTCGAGTTTGCCTACACGGGCGAGGCGGAGGTGGCGGACGAGGATGCGCTCGCCGAGCTGCTTGCGGGCGCGGCGTTCCTGCAGATGGATGAGCTTCTCGAAGCTGCGGCGGAGGCATACGTGTCGCGCCTCGCCGCCTCCAACGCTCTCGCGGTCTGGGAGCTGGCAGACCGAATCGGGCGGCTGCCGCGGCTCGCAGAGGCGGCGGCCAAGGCTGCGCGCGCGAACTTTGGCGAGGTGGTGGCGGGAGGGGAGGCGTGGACAGCGGCGCCAGCGTCGATCGTCCGCTCTCTGCTCGAGGACGACCGGCTGCGCGCGAGCGAGGAGGATGTGTACCGTGCTGGCGTGGCCTGGCTGCAGGCACACGACCCGCCGCCCGGCGAGGAGGAGGTGGCGGCGCTGCTCTCGCGTGTGCGGTTCGCGCTGCTTCCGCGCGAGTTTCTCAACGGCGTGGTCATGGAAGAGCCGCTGCTCGACACACGGGTCGGGAAGCAGATGCTTCTCGAGGCGCCGGGCTTGGCCATCATGAGCACAGCCCGGCCGCGGCCTCGCACCGGAGGGATGAAGTTGTATGCTGTGGGCGGCTTGTCTGGCCCCGGCGCCTCGGCGGTCCTCAGTTCGGTCGAGCGGTACGACCCGGCGACGAGCGCGTGGGAGGCAGTGAGGTCGATGACAACGGCGCGGCACGATCTCGGCGCGGCGGTGCTCGACGGCAGGCTGTACGCGGTAGGCGGCAGCGTGGGTGGCAACGTGCAGCTCCGTTCGGTGGAGCGGTACGATCCGGCTACGAATGCGTGGGAGACGGTGCCGTGGCTGCTGACGGCACGCGAGACCTTCGGGGTGTTGGTGCTCGACGGCAAGTTGTACGCGGTGGGAGGCTTCAACGACGACGACGGCTGGCTCAGCTCGGTGGAGCGCTATGACCCGGTTGCGAATGTGTGGGAGGCTGTGGCGCCGTTGTCCACGGCGCGGTCGCGCGTTGGCGTCGCCGTGCTCGATGGCAAGCTGTATGCGGCAGGCGGTTGGGATGGCGAAGAATCCCACACTGAGGTGGAGCGCTACGATCCGGCTACGAATGCGTGGGAGGTGGTGGCGCCCTTGCTGACGGCGCGAGACACTTTCGGTCTTGTGGGCGTCGACGGGAAGCTGTACGCTGTGGGGGGCGGCGGCGCCACCGGGCAGACCCCCACCTCGGTGGAGAGGTACGATCCGACTACAAACGCATGGGAGGTCGTCGCGCCGATGGCGAAGGGGCGGCAGGGTCCAGGCGCAGCGGTGCTCGACGGCAATCTGTACGCTGTGGGCGGCTGCATGTGCGACGAGAGCGACGGCTTTCTCTATCTCAACTCGGTGGAGCGGTACGATCTGGCTACGAATGCGTGGGAGGTGATGGCACCCCCGATGGCAACGGAGAGGGCGTTCTTCGGCCTTGTCTCGCTGTAGTTTTGAACCCAGGTTATTTGTCTACTTCCATTGTCATTGCTGTGGCAACCTGTGCGTGGACCGCCGCACAGCCGCGGTACTGGGTTGGCGGTAGACACGCAATGATCCGCTCGGCGGTCGGTCCCGAGGTCGGGGGGGCGCGTGACGGAACTCTACTGGTGTGGTGCAATGTGTGCAGTGCGGTGCGACAGCCGTACACCATCCAGCGCGATGCTCGTGTGGCCCCTCTCGTGTACGTTACGTAGAGTATAGAGGCTGTAGCAGGGATCGTACTTCGTATTTACATCGATTGATAACGACTGATAGTAGCACCAAGCCGCCAGACGCAGAGAGGCGAGACTCGCCACAACTCACCACACACCAGCGCCTGCGCGCTGCGCGGCTGTGCCAGCCTCCAGCCTCTGCGCGCTCTGTGCACTGCGGGGGAGGGAGCTACCGAGCTAGCCGCTCTCGGAGGCCTCGCCCGCCTCCTTCTCGCGGCGGCGGCGATCCCGCTTCTCCTTCTTGCGCTTGCGCCGCTCGTCGTCGTCGTCGCTCCCCTCGTCGCGGCGCCGCTCGCGCTTCTTGTGGCGCTTGCGCTCGCCGCCCTCCTCGCCGCCCGCCTCCTTCTCGCCGCCGCCCGCCCTTCTAGGAGGCTCCCAGTAGTGCTAGAAGACACGGGTCCGGCTTTGTCCCGCAGCTGCGGATTGCACTCCGGATTCGCGCGATGCGCCGACAACACTTTGACCATGCCGTGCTCTCACAAAGTTCAAATCGTGCCAGCCTTCAGTTACCTTCCCTTGCACCTTTAGGTGCGGCACCCTCGCGTGGGCTGCGGACGCCGCCTCGACCCGCCAGGCCTCGCGCCGGCGCGAGGGCCAGCTGGTGAGGGCGGACGAGTGCCGCCGCCACGTTGCGCACCTCGACGCGGCCGAGCGAGCGCGCTGCTTCGAGGCGTGACAACGCCCCCCCCCCCCCTCCTGACTGACACGCACACACACCTCGTCACTCACGCGCACCGGGCTTTTTGCACCTTCAATGCCTCTTGTACGCGGAGACAGCCCACCCCCGCCCCACACTACAGCAGCGGTGAGAATTTTCCCTTCCCTTCGCTCACCTTTCCCTCAGGTGACGCTCGAGTCGCGCACGCTGACTCTGATGGCGCCGACGGCCGAGGCCAAGGAGATGTGGGTGGTCGGCATCAACGCGATCCTGTCCGGGCTCTACTTTTGAAGGGTGTCTTCGTCGAGCGTGCCGCTTAGTGAAGAGCGCATCGCAAGAAGAGACCACGCCTGCGCGGGCGCGAGAGTGGTGAGCCCCTGCGCCACAGACGCGGAAGACGCTGGAGGATCCGGAGACGCGTTGTCGGTGTCGATAGATGGGTGGGCATATGTACCATGGTGTAATACCGCGCTATCTCTTTTGTGTGGTGCCAAAAGAAAGAAAGAAACCACGCGTGGTTCGCTAGAGACAGCGCAAAAACATGCAGGGCTACTGAACCGTCCCTACAGGCTAGGAGCCTTGCCCTGAGAGAGATAGGGGCCTGCTCAACACACCCTCCTCTCCCTTTTCTCCCAGTAGCTAAAATCGTCAAAAGATACATTAGGAGGCCTACAAAACACTGACTTCTTCCTGGGGTTGCACCAAGGCGTCCGCCTCGACAGCGCTCACATGCAGGCGTTCGAGCTAGTCGTCCCGAACGGCGCCGTTGCGGGGCAGACCATTCAAGCCGTCACCCCGAACGGCCCAGTGCAGGTCGCTGTCCCTGCCGGTTTGGCCGCTGGCGACAGGTTTCAGGTCCAGCTGCCGCCGAGTGACGAAGCGGCCAAGGCGGCGGCGAGCGCCCTCTCGCAGCTGGGCAACCTGGGCCGCAGCGTCACCTTCGGTCTGAGCAGCAGCAGCATCTCCGGGGCAGACGGCTTGATCGACCAGAGCGTCGCTGGCGAGATGCCCGTCACCTCTGGCGAGCCCGGCGTCGCCGCGGGCCCGGATGTGATGAAGCTCCGCTTCCAGTCTTCCAAGCGCGGCAGGCACCTGCACGCAGAGCTTGTCACACCCGACGGCACCAGGATCGCCGTCCTGGACATGGGCGAGGTCCCAAAGTCGACGCCAGGAGCTCTCTTCGGCTCCGCCATCGGCGGCTACTCCACCGCGTTCCAGCCGCCGCCTCCCGTCCAGCTGAGCGTCCTCGGCCAGGCGTACGGGACCTACACCTGCACGAGCCTCATGAACTGCGGGGTCCAGGCTGGCGCGCGGTGGCAACGCAGAGACGGCACCGGCGGCGCGATGATCGCAGAGCCTGAGAGAGTCGGCTGCTGCACCACGGCGCCGCAGTCCATCTCTCGCAAGAAGAGTGCGCTCGGCAAGAAGGAGGTGCCGTTCACTGCGACGTTTGATGCCGAGAAGGGCCACCCGGCCGAGACTACGATGGTCCACGCCGTGACCGACAGCAGCGCAGGCAAGGTGCCGCAGTTCATCGCGACCAACGTGCGGCAGGTGGTGGTCGAGCTTGACAAGATCACCGACCCGCACAAGAAGCTCGATTGCATCTTGATTGGCGCCACACTCGCGGCGCTGAACGTCACGACGGGCATTCCCTCCAGCGGCGGCGGCGGCTGACTGAACGGGCGCGCAAGTCATGTTACCGACTGAGCAGCGCACGAGAGCTTTAGGGCCGCCAACTCGTACTTTGCAGTTTGCACGTCCATAATATATTTCATTTTTTTTAGCCAGCCCCCCTCGACCTCAACGAGTGAGGTCCGAGGGTTCAGTGTGATCCTTTGTGGATCTATCGTGTTATCATTTGCTGCTATTGGAAAACTCCGTCTGTTTCGGGCGGCGGGGTGCCGATGGCAGAGGAGGCGGCGCGCTAGGCGGCGGGGAGGCAACGGGAGCCGACGGCACGAGAGGAGGCGGCGCGCTTGGTAGTGGCGACGCATCGCCAGCAGTCTTTTATCGGCTGGCCGACGAGTCTGCTTTTGAGGAGAAGGTTCGGCTGCACGCATCGGGGCGGCGATGTGAGGCGGCCGGGCGGGCCGCATAGCAGAGGAGCGTTGGCGTCTTGCCCGGCTCGTGCCACGCAATGCGGTGCAATCACAATTGTACAATCACAAGTGTGATGTATCTTATGAAAATGTGTTCAAAGCACAATAAGTGTTTTGTGCTTTACGCTAGGACGGTCACAGGATGGGAGATGGCGGACAGGGACAGGATGGGAGATGGCGGACACGGCAGGGCACACTCTAGAAAGGTGCTAGAAAGGTGGCGGTATATCTTCTAGGATCTAGCCGCGGAAGTCGGTCAACCGCCGTCACTTCCGTCCTCCGCAGCAAAAGTCAACAGCGCCAGCCATCCCACCTAGTAAAATTTTTAGTTGTTAGTCGACCCCTACCGGCAAGGAACCAAACCCCGGCAGCCGCCTCAAGCCTCCAGACTCAGAGGAGGAGTTGGAGGTGCTCCAGCAACCTAACCTGATCCAGAAGCTCGCCGTACGCCGACGTTGTCAGGTTACGTGCGTCATGCGTGATCGAGCTTGAGGGAGGAGCTCAGCTAACGATTCGGCCGGCCACCCAGCGCCGCCGCCCACCGCCACCCACAAAGCGCCTGCTCTACTATCCCGTACCTGGCTGGCTGACGCTCGCCCCCCCCCGCTCCACTTTCCCCTGACCATGCCCGTGATAGCACCATCACTGTCGCCGTCCTGGTTTTGAACGTGGCAGCTAGGCTCTGGGACTCGGTAGTCGTGACCGCCCCCCCTGAGTGTGAGGAGCAGGAGAGAGAGAGCTTTGTGTTGTTGGTGTACGCAATAACGGGAACAGGGTAGTCGTTCTCTCTAGCTCCCCTTCTAGCTCTTAGCATGAGCTGCGCCCTGTGTCCGACCCCTTTTGCGCAGCAACACCTTAAACTTTCAGGCCCTCCAAATTCGGGTCGGACGGAGCGTAGCGGAGTGGGCCCCGAGTTTGAAAAGGGCGACGGACGCTTGCGTCCTAGCCTCCAACAACGCCTCCCCGGCGCAGAGGGGCCCCCGGAGGAATCTCAACCGCTCCACGCCACGCCGCTTGCGGCGGTCCTCTTCCCAGCTCCGCTGAGGGCCCACACGTTATTCAAACGTTCAAACACTCGGTGTCGAAACACCTCTCCGACGCGCTCGACTATATAGTCTTCACAGTTTGGCGTAGCTGTGAGCGCTGTCAGAGCGGTGTTTCGACACCGATATCGTTCAAGGAGAACGCTGATTCAAAATCCGCTGTTCACACTTCACAGGTAAGTGTAAGCGGAGCAGTTGAGTAGATACAGCGAATCCTTTGTGTTCACACCTGCAAGAGCAGGTGTGAACCGATTTCGGCCTTAGCCGTCGGTATGCCAATAGCGTGCTAGCCAAGTAGTACGCAGTTGGATTCCGAGGGTGTCCCATCACAAGTTCGGCTGCCGACAGACAAGATTGTCCCTTAGTCGACAGCACCCGCCTTTGGACGGTGCTCTGACTGGCTTTGAGAATATATTTTTCTTTTTGGTTCACATGGCTAGAGGTTGGCCTCCCACCGTTGTGAACATAGTCTGGCCCGAAGGAGCCGCTCGTCTCTTGTCCGGGCAAACGCGCGCCCGATAGCCCCATTAAGCACGTGTGAGGGGTATCCGAGCGCCGTAAACTCCCTGAGCTTGCTCGTCACGCTGAGCGTGAGTCCCTCGTCATCGCTCGCCATTGCGACAACCTTGAGCAGGCATCCAACAACGATTCCCTCCTTCATTTTCGCGCATGTGAAGCTATCCCAACGATGGTAGCGCCACACCCGGGGTACCGCCTCGACATTTTCCTGGTCATCTCCGGCGCCAAGTATGCGCTATCGAGGTCTCCGCGGCTCGAGCCGTCGGCAGAGGAGCGCGCACTGCATGCGTACGAGGTGTTCTTCGGCCTGCCCCAGGATTCCGCAACGCTCGACCAGGTCCGGGCGACTTCGGCCGGCATCGCAGGCTTTTTCGACCGCGGAGTTCTCAGACTGGGCGCGGTGCTTCCACGCCGACGCGACTGCTGGGCAACGTGCTGAGCTCACCGAAGCCAAAGCCGACGCAAAGCGAGCTCTCGCGGCCGAAACCGCTCGAGTCAATAGCTTGAAGCGCGACGTCAACGAGCTTGAAGCGCGATTTGAGGCCGAAGCCGAAGCTAAGGGAGCCCTCGAGGCAAGACTCGCTGAAAGCCAGGCTGAGCTCGAGCAGCTGCGGCGCACGACGACTGCCGCGGCTGATGCGCTTCAGGCCGAGGTGCGTAAGGGCCGCCGCCTCATAGTCCTCGTCAGCCTCACCTTCGCCTTGCTCGCCTATGTGACGTTGGCAGCACCGGAGCAGCTCCCAGGCTGGTTTGCCACAGCCTCGACACCGCCGGAGCTCTCAGCCCCTGCGATCACGCTCGTCGTTGTCCTCCATGTCGCCCTGCTCCTCAGTGGTGCCACCTGGGCCCTGTACCTGGGCATCTGAGAGTGCCGAGGCAGGTGTACACTGCCTCGCTGGGCGCATCTGGACGGATCATGAAGCAGCGGAACGCCACGAAAAGGCGCGCGGTGGCACCGAAGCAGCTCCCGGGCCGGTCCGCCATAGCCGCATTGTACCAGCATATTGCCCTCCTCCTCCTCGGCGCCACCCGGGTCCTTGCAGGCACGTTGCACCGTATCTAAAGCACGGACCCGCCGAGGCTCATGGCAGTCGCTGGCAAGAAGGGAAGGATGGATTAGGCTCGCGACATCGCGTGGCGCGTAGGTGGGCGGTGGGTGAGACTGTGTGTGAGACTGTCCGTGGGTGATACACCCGGGGACGTGACTCTGGTACGGCTCTAGAGAAGAGGTAAGGGGTAAGGTAAGTACCTTCTCCACACACAAACGGTGTACGGCCTAGCGTGTCCATCTATCTCAATCTCTGTGCATGTAGCAAACTTTGGAGAGTAGCTACCCTTTGGGGGGGGGGGGTCAGAACACCTGATCTTAACTCGCAAGAGTATCTCGTGATCAGGGTGTGAGGGATGGCGCGCTGCTGCAGCAGCACCCGATCGTCGCCCTCTCCGCCGGCGCAGAAGAAGGCGAGGCCGAGGTAGCATCCCTCCTCGAGGGCTGCCGCGTCGTCGCTGCTTGAGAGCTGCAGCGGGCCGCTCATCAGCTCGAGGAACACGGCGCGCCTAGAGGAGATCCAATCTCGAGTCAATCTCCGGTCATCTCGCCCACCAGCTCGAAACGAGGCAGCGCGCGTGGCAAGGCCGTTGTGCAGCGAGACCGCCTTCGCCGGCGCGCCGAAGCGTGGCAGCAGCACCTCCCGCTCAGGCACCGCGCTGGAGCCCTGCAGCGCGACCAGGTCTGACTTGCTGAGGATGACCTACACGACCGTGGCAGCAAGAAGATCAAGATCCAACAAACCAGGGAACGCCCAACCGGCAGGGAGGGACCGAGGCGGGCAGCGCCGCGTCGCAGGCGAGTCCCCTGACCTCCTGCCACCGGTATCCGGCAAGCTCTTCGTTCCCATCCATGACGGAGTCCACGTAGATTACGGCGGCAACGCGCGCGTCTCGCTCCTCGCTCGACGCAAACTGCACAGGGAGGCCGGGGGGCAGAGAGGAAAGAGGCTCAGGGAAAGGAGACGCCAAGCGCACCAGAGGATCACCGCGTTCACCTGCCGAAAGTCCTCGATGCTCATCTCGACCACGCTCAGTGGCCCGCCCGGCGTCCCCGTCAGCCGCGTCTCCTGCCTGCCGGCGGTGCGAACGTCGAGGTAGAGCAGGTCGGCCGGGTTCGGCACAAAGACGGGGGAGGCGAGGTCGGACATGCGAGAGAGGAAGTAGGAGCACGCCTGGCGGGCGGCTAGGTCGGAGAGCTCACCCAGCGCCGCCTGCGCACGCTCGTTCGAACACGCGGCCGAGATGTTGGCGGCGACGTCGGGAGTGATTGGCGCACGCCGCCAGAGCGAGAGGACGGCCGTGGCCTCGGGCGTGCGCGCTCCCCCTCGTCGATGGAGCTGAGGAGGATCTGCACGGCGAGGAGAGCGGTCTTATGCAACTCCTTCTTGTACTTGAGCCGCTCACTCTCCGCCGCCTCCACCGAAAATAGTATGTTGAGCTGCCAGATGAAGGTCGACTTGCCGCCACTTTGGGGGCCGGTGACGACAATCGAGCGAGAGGGCGGGCGGGCGGCGTCCGCCTCGCCGCCCAGCTTCATGTCGATCTCCTGCTGCACGTCGGCTGCCGCCGGGACGAACGACGACCTCTTGACCAGCGAGCCCCTCTTTATGGAGAGCAGCGAGGCGGCGCTCAGAATGGACGACGTGCGCGTCCGCAGTCGTCGACGTTGGCGTGTCTGACTCAGAGGAGGAGTTGGAGGTGCTCCAGCAACCTAACCTGATCCAGAAGCTCGCCGACGTTGTCAGGTTACGTGCGTCATGCGTGATCGAGCTTGAGGGAGGAGCTCAGCTAACGATTCGGCCGGCCACCCAGCGCCGCCGCCCACCGCCACCCACAAAGCGCCTGCTCTACTATCCCGTACCTGGCTGGCTGACGCTCGCCCCCCCCGCTCCACTTTCCCCTGACCATGCCCGTGATAGCACCATCACTGTCGCCGTCCTGGTTTTGAACGTGGCAGCTAGGCTCTAGGAACTCGGTAGTCGTGACCGCCCCCTGAGTGTGAGGAAGGAGCAGGAGAGAGAGAGCTTTGTGGTGTTGGTGTACGCAATAACGGGACAGGGTGGTTGTTCTCTCCATCTCCCCTTCTAGCTCTTAGCATGAGCTGCGCCCTGTGTCCGACCCCTTTTGCGCAGCAACACCTTAAACTTTCAGGCCCTCCAAATTCGGGTCGGAGCGTAGCGGAGTGGGCCCCGAGTTTGAAAAGGGCGACGGACGCTTGCGTCCTAGCCTCCAACAACGCCTCCCCGGCGCAGAGGGGCCCCCGGAGGGATGCTCAACCGCTCCACGCCACGCCGCTTGCGGCGGTCCTCTTCCCAGCTCCGCTGAGGGCCCACACGTTATTCACAGTTTGGCGCTGTTCCGCCCTCGGACAGCCGCCCCTCGGACCGCCGCCACCTCCTCCCACCCATCCCACTGGGCCTCCCCGAAATCCCTCAGCCCCATGCCCGCTCTCGCGATGTTGCTCGCCTGGGCTTCGAGCGAGGGCGAGGTCTGCCGGCGCGGCCAGCACGGACCGCGGTGCGCGGGCGACGCCGATTGCGCCGGCGTCGAGTATTGTGTCCGTTGCGCACAGTCGGGCTTTTGCACGGACGTGCCTCTCCCCGGAGGAGGGACGCCGCGTCGCGATGGCAAGATGGACTGTGGCGAGGGCGTGCCGCTCTGCGGCGTCCTCACCCTCGAGACTGGCTACGGCGGCGGCTACTACCACCACGCGCATCCGTCTGTCCACGGGCTGTGGCCGCAGGTGGGCGAGTACGGCTCGTCGGCCTGCATCCCTCCGCGCGTGTCGGCCGCGTCGCCGACGCGCCTCTACCCGTGCTACGCAGCGCCCGCCGCCGAGCGGGCCCACCAGGCGCCGGCTCTGTAGATATACTGATCGCCGTGCCGCTCTCGCCGCTCTCGCCGCGCTCGCACTCCCGCCCGCGGTAGCACACCACACATGCTCCGGCCGAACGCGTGGTCCGCCCTCCCTCCCTCCCCTCCCGCCCCCGCCTCAGCTCGAGTTCGAGCAGCACGAGTGGTCGAAGCACGGCACTTGCGCCGGCGCCGCGGACGCGGACGACTTCTTCGCCCAAGTCTGCAGCCAAGACCCACAGAACCCCAATCGCTCTGAGAGGACGGGGTGTGATGTAAGAGGCGGCAGGCTGGATGTGGCGTGCGGTGCGAGTCTGCCTCAGGAGTCCCACAGACCCCCTCGCAAAAGTCTGGCAGCCAGTCCACCCACAGAACCGCGTTCGCTCGAGTCTGCCAGTAGTCCCACAGACCCCGTTCTCTGCCTGCCGGGTAGACCTGTTCGCAAACAGCCAGTAGCCCGTCCGCACCCAGCCCTTCCCCTCGCAGGTCTGCAACCTCTCCTCCGCACCGCTCGCCCTGCTGTCGGCGGAGCGCCAGAAGGGCGGCTCCCTAGCAGACATGACCGCCGCGCTCAAGCAGGAGGGCCACACTGTCACCCTAGCCCTACCCGGGACCCCAGACCCTACCCCAAGCCCTGCCCCTGGAGACCCTGACCTCTATCCCCACCCCTGCCTCGGAGCCAAACCGGAAGTCGCCCCCACCATCGCCCCCACCATCGCCCCCACCATCGCCCCCACCATCGCCACCGCCTCCCCCCTCGCCTCCGCCGCCCCCGCCTCCGCCTCCCTCGCCGCCGCCTCCGTCCCCTCCGCCCTCCCCGCCGGCCTCACCCCCCTCCACCACCGGCCGTACCCCCCGGCCCTAGGCGGGCTACCCGCTGCGCACTGTCGACCCGCCTCACTCGCAGCTAGAGCTCTCCGCCTGCGCCTCACGACGACGGCCGGTGCGGGCTCCCCGGGGAGACCCCGTTCACGGCCCCCCGGCTGTGAATAGGCCCCTCGGACGACGGGCGGGGGAGGCTCCCCCCTGTGTCGATGCGGAAGACGGGAAGTAGAGGGGGTCCCCCCCCCCCCCCCCCCCCTTGCAAGCAGCCACGTACCGTCTGCCCCAGCACACGCACAGCACACGCGGAGGGGATGGTCGCCCTCTGCTCGGAGAGGGTACCTATGAGAGGGTCCCCTGCCCGCGAGCTCTTGCACCCGTCGCGACTCCCACACTTGCAGAACTCACCGCCTCCCCGCAGCTCGACCGCACCGCTGCTCTCACCTCCCCCGCTTGATTCCCCCGGTTGATTCCCCCAGGCTCGCGCCCGTCGACGCCTTCCCCTCCCTCTGCCGGGGGAAGCGGCCGCCGACGCCGCCCGCCGCTTGCCGGCGTGGCGAGCAAGATGCCAAGCCTACCACGAATCACACGTCCCGCATGTGCATGTCGCCCTGGCGCCCCCGACGTGACCACCCAAAGCCTCAAAACCCCCACCATTCATGCGGTCGACGCTGCATGCAAACGGCCAACACACACACACACACACACACACACACACACACACACACACACACACACACCGCTCACCCACGCGCACCGGGCCTTGCACTGTTAATGCCGTGGGGCTCCTGTCGTCTAGAAGAGGAGTCGCGAGGGACTAGCCTGGCCCTTGCCCCGCCACCTCGTGCGTGGAGAAGTGTACCTTACCCTCCCTTACCTTAGGCATGGCGAGCACGGCCCTGCGTGCGAGAGCGACGTGGACTGCGCGCACGTCACTGGCTGCGTCCGCTGCGCGCAGTCGGGCTTCTGCACAGACGTGCCGCTGCCGGCTGCCGAGTGAGTGCCTTGAGGAGGGGGCGGGTTTGGCGGGGTTTGTGCACTTTGGGGTTTGCGATTCGGATAATTTCCTCGCAGCGACGCGGCGCGGCCAACAGCCAAGCTCGGAAGAGACTGTGTGTAGCCAACAACTCTATACGCGGCGAACTGTCAGTTGTAACACTGTGCGGAGTCAGTGAGCCCCCGGTACTGGTGCGCGCCGTACACTACTCACTACGTACCGTAGAGACTGTCACTAGCCGTACCTCTCGACTCTCGCCGTACCACACTCCACACCTGTGGCGACCTGGCCAAAATAGAAGAACAAGGAAAGCGAAAGCCGAAAGGGCAAACGGAGGCGGGAAGGGGGATGCGGATGGGAGGACCACGGCACGGACGGGCACGCCGCTGTCTGTGTGTGACTGGATACAGGATAGAGCTCAACCCGCGCGCGCGCGCGGTGCGCGGATCACAGTTAATTTAAGTCAAGCGCCGAGCCATTTGTCGATGCCATTTGTATCCGGGCCAGTCTGCTGTGGGAGGGGCGTGATAAAGAAAGAAAGAAAGAAAACAGACAACCCAAGGGAGGGATGGGAGGACGGCACGCGTGGTTCGTAGAATTCGTAGTGCGCGACCAAATTCTTCTTTCTGGCCAAAGATGCGGCGTAAAAACGAGGGGAGCTTATGAGCGGCGCGTTGCGCCCAGCCCAGCTCGCAAAGCTAGCCGAGGGGAACCTAGGCTCGCTGCGCGCCCTCCTCTCCGGGCTGCGGACGCGCGGCACGTCGCTCGCGGCCCAGCTCGACGCGCGGCTCGACACCGAGAAGCAGGACACGCTGCTGACCTCGGGCGGTCGATCTTCAAGGCACTCGCGAAATTCGGCATCGACTCGGCGCGCTGGCATCTACTCGCGGCTGATCGCGCTGCGTGGCGCGAGACGCTGCGGTCAGGCCTCGCCCCGGCCGAGTTCCGCCCGCCTCCGGCTCCTCCGTCGCCCGAGCGAGCGCATCTCGCGCACTAAACCCGTGCGGGGCTGCACCGCGGCCACGATGGCCCGCGTTAGCGCTTCGCTGCGCCTCTTGGCTTGAGTCAGGCTTCGGGCCTGGCCTAATCGCTCGCGCGCGGGTGTGCCTGCTTGGCTCAAGCCAAACAAACAAACACTTATGGCTCTGAATGGTGCACTCCCAGGGTGGTTTCTCCTTCTTGCCGGATCGCACAACGATGTCGTTCCTCGCACCGTCCCCGCCACGGCACAAGCTGGCCGAGATCGCGCACCGCCGCTGTGACCTGGCCAGGTCACCCCGCTTTGCGCTTCTCGCGCTCGGCGGCTTCGGCTTCCTGCTCGCCTCGCTCTGGCGCCGCGCGCTGCGTCGCCGAGGTCTGCCCGCCGCTCCTCTGGCACCGCCCGCCGTCCGCTCGGCGGAGAAGAGCCGTGTGGCGAGCTGCGCCTTTGCGGACGCCGTCGCTCGGCTCAGCATCGACACGTTCCGTGCGCTGTGCGAGCGCGCGCAGGTGCAGTACACGCAGACCTGCATGGCTGCCGTCGTGGCGCTGGACTCGCCGCCAGACGGGGGCACGCCACGGCTGACCGTGCTGTCGGTCGGCGCGGGGACCAAGTTTGCGCGCGCGGCGGCCGTCGCTGCCGACCGAGCCGGGACATCCATCCGCGACTGCCATGCCGAGGTGCTCGCACGGCGTGGGCTGCAGCGAGCCCTGCAGGTGGCTCTTCTCCGCGCGGTCGGCGGCGGAGACAGCGGCGACGGCGGCAGTGACGGCAGTGGCGGCGGCGGCGGCGGCGGCAGTGGCTGCAGCGGAGGCGGAGACGGAGGCGGCGTTCGAGACAGAGGCGGAGGCGGTGACGGTGACGGTGACGGAGGCGGTGGCGGTGACGGCGACGGCGCGCAAGTCGCGGCGCTGCTGTCGCCTCCGGCGGAGGCTGGCGGCACGTGGTCGCTGCGTCCTGGCGTCAGCCTCCACCTGTACACCTCCTCCGCGCCGTGCGGCAACGCGTCCGTCCGCCGCTGGGCGAGGTGCGACGGATAAAGTGCGGAGTAGCTGCGGAGTAGCTGCTGCTCGCTACTAACGACTAGCTAACTGCTAATGAACTACTCATCAACTCCGCCGCTGGGCGAGGTGCGAGCCCGTGCTCGCCGAGGAGACCGCCGCACCGCTCGAGCCGCCGCCGCCGGCGCGACACGCGCCTCGCCGGAGCGGTACCCTACCAACCGCGGTACCCCAATCCAAGGAAAATGAAATAGGCGCGGCACGCGCCCCTGCACGCGCCCAAGCACGCCCGCGCCGAGGGCATGCTCTCGCTCTCGGTCAAGCGCGAGCCTGGCGCCGGAGAGGGCGGCGCCTGGCTAACTGCTGACCAACTGCTCATCCCGTTCCTCATTCACTACGCAAGGCGCGGGAGAGGGCGGCGCCTCGCACGGAGTCGGAGAGGGCAGCAGTGCGTCGCAGGCCGGTGGCGGCGGCGGAGGCGGGGCGCAGATCTGCGCATCAGGCACTGCGGCCGGGCCGCGGGCTGAGAAAGAAAACGGCGAGGGCGAAAAGGAGAGGTGGGAATAGGCGCGGCGCCAGGGCGGGTCCGCGGGCGCCCCACAAAGAAAGAACTCAGGCGCCGCAAGCAAAGAGCCTCGGAACAGGCACGGCGCCGGTCGGGTCGGGTCTCGGCGTGATCCTCTCTTGCTCCGACAAGATCTGCCGTTGGAACCTGCTCGGCCTGCAGGCGCTATCTCCCTAGATCTCCCCAGGTCTCCCCAGATCTCCGCATGACATGCAAGCGCTATCTCCCCATATCTCCCCATATCTCCACCTGACATGCAGGGCGCGCTGCTGGCGCACTTCTTCGGGCCGCTGTACCTGCGCAGTGTCGTCGTCGGGCGGAGGTACAGCCACTGACACACTCACACGCACGCACACACACACACACACACACACACACACACACACACACACACACACACACACACACACACACACACACACACACACACACACACACACCGCCCACACACACACACACACACACACACACACACACACACACGCACACACACACACACACACACACACACACACACACACACACACACACACACACACGCACACGCACACACGCACACACACCGCCCCCCCCCCCCACACACACACACACGCCCACACACACACACTGGGCCTTGCACTTTGAATGCCGTGCGGCTCCTGTCGTCTAGACGTGGAGTCGCGAGGGACTAGCTTGGCCCTTGCCCCGCCACCTCGTGTGTGTGTGGAGTGACATTACCTCACCTTACCCTCACTACATCAAGGCGAGCACGTTCAAGGGACGGCACACCTCTCCCCCTCTCTCCCCCTCTCTCCCCCTCTCTTACCTTAGGTACTCGCGGCTTCACCTCGAGAGAGCGCTCTGCTGCCGCATCGGCAGCCTCTCCTCGCCGGCGGGCGGGCGGCGGCATCGCCGCGCCGCCGCCCGCGCTGTTGAGGGGCGCGGCGGCGAGGGCGGAGGCGGCGGGGGCGGGGGTGGCGGCGGGGGTGGCGGCGGCGGCGGCGGCGGCGGTGGCGGCGGCAGGGGCGGCGGAGGCGGTGGCGGTGGCGGCGTCTCCTCCCTACCGAAGGGCTACGGCGTGGCACACCCGAGCATGCTTTGCACTTCGGTCAAGAGTACCCGAGATGAGCCGAGATGAGCCGAGAGATCAGCCGAGGGCGCCATATAGAGCCATCTCGGAGCAATCTCGAGTGAGCTCGGGTGAGCTCGGGTGCACGCCAAGCTCGACGAGAACGCCGATACAAAAGCAATACAGCCGCGGCGCGCGCCCTGTTTGATTCTGAATGCCGCAGGTTCAGCTCGAAGAGAAAAAGAAATGCGCGGGGCCGCGTTATATTCTTTATGTTGCCGCAGGTGAAGCTCGACGAGGGCGCCATCGCGACGGGAGGCAGCCGCGGGCGGCACGCGACCTTCGACGAGGCGCGCGGCCTCGCCTTGGCACCCTACCAACCCCGGCACCCAAATCCAATCACATGACATAGGCGCGCGGCCTCTGCTGGGCGGCTGGCGACCCTAGAAGCAAGATATGTGGAGATATGGGGGAGAGGTGGGGGAGATGCGTGCTGCGGCTCGCGGCCCTAGAAGCGGAATCCACGTACTCTTGTACTCCAGGGGACACGGACTCCGCCGCTTTCGGCCGTATCAGCCGTACTCACTGTGATGTGTGTCGCTCGTCTTCACGCGGTGCCCCGAATACTCGCCACAATACCGTACTCCCGCCCCCCGATGACGGCGTCTTCAGCACGTAGGCTGGCGACGCAGAGCCAGAGCTGCTCGACGCCGGCGCGTGCTACCGCACCACCCACGGGACTGAACCCACACTGGATTCGGTACTCTGGAGGTATGGTACTAGGCGCCCCCGCCGCTGCCAGCCGCGTCTGCAGCGCGGCGATGCTGCGCTCGTTCGTGCGGCTGTGGGCCGCTTGCGAGGCTGCGGCCCGCGCGCCTCGCTCCCTCGCGGTGTTGGGTCGTCCTCCGGCAGCGGCAGAGGTCGAGGCCGCTCTGGGGGAGGGCGGCAGCTACCGCAGCCTGAAGCGCCGCCGGCTCGAGCCGGCGGCGTACTGCGCCGCGCGCGACGTTCTCCTCTCGCGCTCGGAGCTGCGCGGATGGGCGGAGGCCAAGCAGGCGCTGCGTGGGGGAGGGGGCGAGGTGTGCTTGGCTTGCGACGAGCCGCCGCCTGCGAGGGCGGTCGTCGAGAGCACGTGACTCGTCCAGTGTCTCTCCACAACGCCGCCACTCCCGGTGGTTTATATAAAATTGGTTTCTTCACGGTATAAAAAAAGGTCGCAGTGCCACATCGCCGGTGTGTTTTTTACGACTTCGAGCATGCATGGAAGAGATGGAACGGAAATCGGAATGCCCCCCCACCC